GTCCCTTCCTGGTGGTGCAGGAGGTTAAAGCACAACACTATGAAGCTATCTGCAGCCACTGTAGCATGGGTTCTATACTGGGCCAGGGAGGTGACCCATATGGCTCAGCAGACCTCTCCTGTAACACCCGCTGCTCCCCTCAGTGGTGTACTTTGTCAATCTGCCTATTCTGTTCACCACTCTGTCTCTGGTAAATCCTCTTGTACTCTGTACTTTTGGCCTGTACCCCAGTTCTTGTATGCATAAGTAAATAAATAAATCTTTAAACAAAAACAGTTCAGCCAAGTCAATAAAAACAAATAGCAAACAATGATAAAAACAAGCCCAGATGGAGGTAGTAAACATGCAGAGTTGCTATGATATATTATCTAAAATGTACAGTTTTCAACAAAACAGTGCAAGACTATGCAAATAAACAAAGTGTGCCCCATATACAGGAAAAGGGTAGGCAACAGAAGCTTCCTGTGAGAGGGCCCATGTATTAAGTTTAACAAAGACTTCACAGAAGCCATTATAAATACATTTAAAGAATAAAAGGAAACCATGCTTAAAGAAGTAATGGGGTCTATAATTATAATTCTCATAAAATAAAGTATGTTAATAGAGAAATTACAAAAAGAACCAAATGGAAGTTCAAAAGTACAATAGCCAAAATTCACAAAAGGCTGAATAGCAGGATTTGAATGAATAGACAGGAAAATCCATGAATTTCAACATTGATTGATAGAGATTATGAAAGTAAAGAAAAAAAGAGAAAACAGTAGAAATGGGATATTTGTGAGCATTTTTACAAGTAGGACTAGAAAAGAGGACAAAATGAGAGGAACAGAAAAATTTTAAGGAAGTGATGTCTGAAATGACACAGTAAATAAAATGAATGAAATGGGATAAAAATTGGAACAACAAAGTCAAAACATCAGATGTAATGACATTTTAAAAATATCACCATATGCTAATCATCACAGATTGAGCAAATCCTCATCTCTTATAAAAGGGATCTCAGAGATGTCTCTCCACCATGCAAGACACGACAACAGACACTACAACTAGTGGGTGAAATTTATTAAGATGGGATATTTCACAGTCTGAAAGTATCTCCTCACAAAACACTAACTCTACACTGAAAAATCTAAGCTATATCATTTTACTATGTAATAAAAATTAACTTTCCTAATAATGGTATAAACAACATATTCTGATATATGCTGAGAATACATCACTTTTGTGGTTTTCTTGTCAAATTTATATAAACTGAATCAAATCATGAGGAGTCAATCACAAATCTGAACCAAGGCAGTCTACATTGTAATTGCCGTATATGCTTCAAAAATTTCATGGACGGGCCCTCCTTGGTGGCTCAGCGGGTTAAAACACACCACTATGAAGCTAAAGCCACTTCCTCATGAGTTCGATCCCCGCCTGCCCCAGGAGGTGATCCACATGGCATGGCAGACCTCTCCTGACCCACCCGCTGCTCTCCTCAGTAGTGTACTTTGATGATCTGCTTCTTCTGCTCCCCACTCTGTCTTGGGTGAATCCTCTCACTGGCCCTGCACCTCTGGCCTGTACCCCAGTTCTGTATGTACAAATAAATAAATCTTTAAAAAAATTTTTTTCATGGACAAAGAAAGATGAGGTATTGCTCCAGACTAAAGGAGACGACAGAACATGGCAAATAAATAAATAAATGCATTGTTACCTTGTACTAGACAAGAAAAGGAAAGGACAAGAAAAGGAATAAGTTTTTGTTGTTATTTTACAAAGGACAATATTAGGACAACCAACAAAATTTGAGTGGAATCTAGTGATTCAATGTTAATTTCCTAATATTGCTATGCACGTTGTGGTTATGTAGGAGACTATCCTTGTTTTTAGGAACTACAGACTGAAGGATTTAGGAAAAATGGGCATCGTATCTGCAATTTACTCAAACATGGTTAAGAATAAAAATGCATGTGTGTGAAAAAATGTTTAAAGAAAATGGGAGAGAATAAAAGGCAAAAACAGCAAAACTTAAAAATTAAGGGATCCTGATAAAGAATATGTAAGAATTTTTTGGGGAAGTAAACATTCTTTTAAAATGAACAATGATGTAATTATATATATATACATATATATATGACAATAATGTAAACATGTATCACTGAAGTGTGCACTTAAAATGCCTAAATTGATATTTTGTATTATGTATATTTTACCTCCATAAAATAATTATACCCCTCCAAAAAAAGGATTCTTTTGTACCATCTTGTAATTTTTTTCTAGGTTTTGTATTTTTTTAATATTTTACTTTTACATCATTTTGTGCCTTTTCCCATCTCAGTTGTAATCACTGTGGGCTTCCCATCACGAATTCACTGTGTGCCATCACTGTGTGCCATAGTCCAGTGCACTTCCTCCCACCCCCCATTTTTTATCCCATTCCCCACTCCACTCCCATAAAAGGTCTCTGGTATATAGTTGTTTATTATTATTATTCCACCCCTACCCCCATCCTTTATGCTCCTGCGATGAGTGACACCATCCTGTGGTTTTCTTTTTCTTTATGGTTTATTTCTATTTTTTAAAAAAGATTTATTTATTTATGCATACAAGAAAGGGTGTATAGGACAGAGGTGCAGGAAGGTGAGACAGGAAACATTTGTTGCACCATGTGGGGTTAGCTCCTTAGCTGAGGATCAACTGGTGCTGCAGTGGTTGTGAATGGCTTCATATTGCTGAGAGTTAACTTTTTGCACGACACTAGGGAGGTCCCCTTTTTCTAAGTTTTAAAATATTTCAAGCCCTCCCTGGTGGCGCAGCGGGTTAAAGCACAGCACTGAGAATCTAAAGCCGCTTCCGCATGAGTTCGATTCCCGCCTGCCCCGGAGGTGACCACATGGTGTGGCAGACCTCTTCTGACCGGCCCACTGCTCCCCTCAGCAGTGTACTTCGTCGATCTGCCTGTTCTGCTCCCCACTCTGTTTCTGGTGAAGCCTCTCGCTTCCCCTGAGCCTCTGGCCTGTACCCCAGTTCGTATGCACAAATAAATAAATCTTTAAAAAAAGAAAATATTTCAAATCTCTAGATTCTGATCCACAGGTTAATCACATCCAATGCCCAAAAGTTATCTCACTTCTGCCTGTGAATGTAGACTTTTAATTCTTTAAGTAATAATGCTTTTAAAAGACATGACTTTCATTATCTGAAGAGAGATAGCTATAATCCTCTCTTCTTGTTCTTAGTGAGACAAGCCCTATCTTTAAAATATCTGAGAAGTTTGATAATCACATAGTAATTTTAAAAAGATCACACAAACACACAATTTCTTTTTTCTAACTTAAAGATCAACACAGACATGAAACCTATGACTGTTAATGAAATATAGTTCTTAAAAGACATTAAAAAACAAACACTGGGTCCTCCCTGGTTGCATAAGGGGTTAAGTCTCAGCACTATGAAGCTATTGGCAACCACTGCAGCAGGAGTTTGATCCCCAGCCAGAGAGGTGACCCACATGATGCAGCAGACTTCTCCTGACCCACCCACTACTCCCCTCAGCAGTGTATTTCAATAGATCTGCCTGTTCTGCTCTTTACTCTGTCTATGGTGAATTACCAACTGATGGAAAAATTGATAAAAGTTCACAAAATGGCAAACCTCAATAGGCCTCTTTAGTAACTTAGTTGTTATCTTGTGTAGGTGTGCACTGCCATAGGTATATTATTTTTTAGTATTTAACATTCAAATTAACATTTATAAGTTTAAAACCTGGAGAAACAATGTAAACATACAACTAATGTTAAACTGTAATATTGAAATCGACCAAGTATCACTAAAGTAAATTTAAAATAAAATGAGCTAGATGAGTTTATTTTAGCACTACTGCCATTATGAACTGAAAATCTGTACCATCCCAAATTCATATTTTGAAAGTCTAACCTCCAATCTGATGGCATTAGTTAGAGGAGCTTTGGAGCTAACTTGGGCATATGGGTCGGCCTGCATGAATGGGATTATCACCCTTATCAAAGATATTCCAGAGGGAGATCTCCCAAATATGAGTATACAATTAGAAGCTAGCTACCTGCAAACTAAGAGAGATTGTTACCAGAGACTGGATCTTCTGATTACGTGAATTGGAACTTTCCAGCTTCCAGAGTTGTGTTAGCACAAACTTATAGAGTACTATCTAGTGTTATAAGCAGAATAAACTTACATATGTTAACTGTAGATGCACAGAAAAAAAGTGGAAGAATTTATACCAATCTTGTCAAAAGGAATTATGTATTGATTATAACTGAGATACTTTCAACTTTTACTTTTGTATTCTTTCTTTTTAAATCAAAAAGCTTGTATTCTGAATCAAAAAATCAAGGGAAATATCTGAGACTCACATATATAGCAATGAGTTGACCCACAAAAAGATGATGTTATAAAACACTATTTCTTGGAAAAAATAAAAATCCTCATTATTACCTTGGTTTCTCATTGGAATGGTCAGCAAAGCAAGGTATGGCAACAATTGAGTTTGGAGGCATAAAGCTGGTAAGCAGAAGTCAGAAAAAAGTGCTTTTGCTGCCAGGCAATTTTCCCGATACTGTATAGAAGAGAAAAACAAAAAAAGATAATGAAAAATAAAATTAAAAAATCTGGGTATGTATTGCAAAGCAAACTAAGTTTACTGTATTAAAAAATACATAGGTTCATAAATTACAAATACACTTTGAAGACTTTAGTCCTTCATAACACAACTATCTTACAACTGATGTAACAGTAAGAATTTTATAGATTTAAAATACAAGGTACAAAAAAGTTTAAAAATTAAAAAAGGGGAGTTGGGTAAACTGGGTAAAAGCAACAATTTTATTTTGACCTGACTTTTGGTGGTGAATGTGGTACATACACATGTTGATTTTCAAGAAGCAGAGCTAAAACTTTAATATAGTGTTACTTTAACAAAAGTTAAGTATTAAAAAAAAAAAGTAAACATGAGGCTGTTCCTCAAAGATATCCCACTCCAGGGAATGAACACTCAATATGAACTTTTTTTTTTTAGCTAAACAAATGGTATCCTGCCCTCTTTCCATCTTCTAAATTCAAAACAAGAGGCAATGGTGGTATAGCTGTCTTCCAAATTCAAAACAATAAAATAATTCAGTTAATAAAAAGAATCTCTAAGTGACTGCTTATGAGCATATACACATCATAAATTATGTGAGATACTTTCTCAATGAAAGAATTTCAGTTAGCACAAGTGATATGTTAGGCTGAAGAAAAGTGAAATTTCTGCCTTCAGGGAACTAACAGCTTCCTTTTGATGGAAACTACCATGTTCCAGTAATTTATCCAAATGACCAACACAAAAGGAAGGAGGAACAGCATCACTATACCTTCTCTAGGCCTTTTAGAAAACATGGAGCTATTCATTTGGCCACACACACATGCAAATCCACAAGAAAGATGATACTGTAGACATTAAGGGGATGGACACTGTTCATAAAGGAATGTCTCACAATATTACCATAGCAAAACCTGAAGTCATGTCATTCAGCACGCAGTTGTAAACAAAAGGCAAGATTCTTGCCAAAAGAATTAATGTTTATATTGAGTATACTTAGCACTCTAAGAGTTGAGATAGCTTTCTGAAATGTGAAGAGATAAAAAGGAAGCCAAAGAAAGACAATGTCCTTGGTTGTTTAACTCAAGTGCCAGTCTATTCTATCCAAAGAAGCTAATTTGTGAGAACCAGTGGAAAGGAGCCTGAGCTGCTGGAACCCATGCCCTATGAATTCATGGCATGATAGGTGTGGAAGAAAAAAAAGTTCTAAACAATAAAAAGGTGGCACAAAGAGTAAAACAAGTCAATAAAGGACATGTATTGTTTTAAAGCCACTATTTCCCAAGAAATCTGTTGGAAAAAATGTGTTAGGTCATCGACTACAGGCTCATATTTAGTCATATGATTTTAAAATTGAAGATATTTTCACATTTCTAATGCAGAGGTCACAAATTTACAGGCAACAGGGGCCAGGCAGACAATACAGATCAATGCAGAAAGGCCCTCCCTGGTGGCACAACAGGTTAAAGCATAGCACTGCAAAGTTAGCCACAGCCACTTCAGCACCAGTTCCATCCCTGGTCAGGGAGGTGACCCAGATGACATGGCAGACCTGTCTTGACTGCTGTTCCCCTCAGCAAACCACTTCGCTGATCTGACAGTTCTGCTCCCCACTGTGTCTCTGGTGAATCCTCTCACCGCCCCTGCACCTCTAGCCTGTACCCTAGTTCTGTATGCATAAATAAATACATTTTTAAAATAATAAATAAATAAATAAATGAAGAACAGCTGGGGACATTCCCGCTACCATCTTCAAGGGATAGATTATACTTGCCATGAACAAACTGTTGCCATGTAAAAATATGTACCAGTATTGATTTATTTTTCATTTTTCCAGGAGAGTCCAGAAATTCTAAAGCCAGAAATCTACATCTGAATTTTATTTCTGGCAATTTATTAAAAAAAAAAGATCTGTGTGTTGTGTTTAACTTTGTGGACTCTTAACTTTTTGAAACCTAATTAATCCTTTACGCTTATAGCATTGTAAAATTAAGTATGCAATACGTGAATTAACAAGTTTATTTTTCACTAAAACTAAAATACAATTAGATTTTTATTTCAATAGCAACTAATAAATAAAACAGTATGTGCTTTCAAATTTTTAATGCTTTTATCATCCCCTTGAAAACTACTAGGCATTCAAGAAGATTGTCTTTTTTGTTTTATCATTATTCTAGAAAATTGTGGGACTTAGCAATTACATTTTTTTTTATTAAGAATGAAATACTTTTCTAACTTAAATGGCTTTATTGAGATATAATTTATATAACATTCACCTACTGAAAGTATACAATTTTTCTTTTTTTTACCTTTTTACTTATTAGAAACCACTGGGGCTTGTGCAGGGGACGAAAACTTGATCCTCCTCCTTGAGAATGAGCAAATCCTCGGACTTTGTTGGAATGTATCACACCTCTTGTAGCTATAGATGTACTATATTCCCTGAGTAAAGAGCGTGTCTAATAAAGAAGATGTGAAATACATAAAATAAGATACTTGTGAAACAGTACTATTGGTACACCAGCAGCAAAAAAAGACTCATCATGTTTAAATAATTACTGTATGTCCACTTTTTCACCTTCATAGCCCTAAAAATAAGTCACAAAATCATCCAACTCAAGGGACTCCCTGGTGGCACAAGGGGTTAAGTCTCAGCACTATGAAGCTATCAGCAGCCACTGGCCCACATGGTGTAGCAAACCTTCCCTGTCTCCGTTGCTGCGTCCCTCAACAGTACATTTTAGCAGATCTCCCTCTTCTGCTCCCCACTCTGTCTCTAATGAATCCTCACACCCTTAACACCCCAGTTCTTGCATGCATAATAAAAAAAACTATTCAACTGAGACAAGCCAATCAAATCAAGTCAAATTAAACATGTCTAAACCTTGACTG